TTGGGAGTGATGGCATTTGTCTTCCCAAGTCACCGTTAGGTGTGATAGAGCCCTGCTTTCCTGAAGATGGCTGAACACCTGCCAGCTGATGGACAGCTGAATTCATGAATGAATTTGTTGTCTTGGTTTGCTTGTGTGCACAGCTTTTGCTTTACCTGTTAAACTGTATCTCAACCCAGGAGTTTTCTCACTTTTACCTTTCCGATTCTCTCCCCCATCCCACTGTATGGGGAGTGAGTGAGCAGCTGTGTGGGGCTTAGCTGCCGGCTGGGGTTAAGCCACACCAGAAGCTTAGAAGTAGAATTCAAGACTGTTTTATGAACATACTTAATATTGATTTTTCATATGAATACATATACAATAGAAATATAAAATTGTAGACATTGTCTGGATAACTCTCCAGCATTTATGTACCAGTGGAACATCAACTTGTCTTTTACTAACATAATTTTAGACAATGGAAATCAAAAGGTAGCATTTGCTGGAAATGTTACAGCTGTTGAATTACTAAGGGAAGTTCTGTGGAACAGAGATCCTGAGCCAACAATTTAATCTGTAAAATGCTATGTTTCTAGTCTTGTCTTTGAAGTAGTAAGCTCACGATAAAGTCATTATTTGGGGATGCTTTGTTATCTTCTTCCTGTAAATGATGGATGACTCTAAGGTCACCGAAAACTTAGCAAGGTCAAATTGCAGATGAGGTAACAAACCCGAACCAAAAACTGAAAGTTAACTGCAGTTGAATAACAGAGATGCTACATTAGTTCACTTTTTATCTTTTTTTAATTATGAACAAACTGGTAAAGGATCACAATGCATATTTTATATAAGTGTGCAACTAAGGGTATGTTGACATTGTAACATGACGAGGCAGTTATTCAACAAAAAAAAAAAATGCTGGTTTGATGGCAAAAGGGAAATATAGTATTGGCTTCCTCTAATGACCATAGTTAAATATTACCAATCAGGTAAATAGTACAGTAATATTACCTTAATTTGAAAATGGAATTTGACAATACAGGGGAAATGAAATGTGTAGCAGAGACTTGAGAAAAGCTGATACCATGTTGTCAGACCTCAGCAGCTCTGCAAGATGATTTGTTTTTTTGTTTCTAACAGCCTTTGGTAAGACTGCCATCCATTACCCAACTGTGTTTTTCTAAAGCACACATTTCTCTTAAGATATATTTTTCTGTTTCAGAGATGTGGATTTGCAACAACACTTGCTTATGTCACTAAATATACATCTGATGCATCCAAGATGTAGCACATTTGCGAACATTAAAATGGCTGTTTCATGGGAGACCAAACATAAATATAGCTAATATCCTGCCTCCAACACTGGCTAACAGTGCCTGCTATAATAGCAAGAGCAAAGATTAGGGCAAGAAGCTAGAAATGTTTCCCTAGAAGGCTTCCCTAGCCTGCAATATATTCTGAGCCAGATCTTGTGTCTTTGTATTTTTCTTATGAAAATCTTTCATTTACTTTTTGTAAGTAGGTAAACTCTTCGTTTCAACAACATCACAGTGTCATCACAAGTTAGGTTAGGTGCGTCCTTTTGTTTTAAACTAAGTGCTCACTATTATCGTTTGATGTCCAGTTATTCTCCACCATCTCCAAGCGACTCAAGATTAACATTAAAGACTACGTTTATACACTCAATCATGTCTTCCAGGCTGAAAAGTTCTGATCTATTTTGTTGTTTGTTTAATCTATATAAGTGATCATCCTTCCCCCTCCCCTCTTTATTGCATTCATGTCAAGTATGAATATAATTTTCTAGGATGCAGCAGACTTATGGCTCGCATTCTGGGTAGTCCATCTGCCTTTATTCAGCAGCCATTTGTCTAGGATTTCCAAACCTCCAGCATTTGTCTAACACTACTTCTCTTTTCTGCCTAGGAATATTTTTAATGGAGCTACTGTCCTACTTGGTTTACTGTAGGTCTGGAAATTCTGGACAAGTTCCAAATGTTCAGATTCTGCCTGGACATGTTACCAGGAAACTTGGAACAAGATGCCCCATCCAGTATTGATGTGTTAGTTGTGTTAGTATGTACGGCCACTGTCTACACTCTGTCTGTTCCCTCGTGTTGTTTGTTTTACAAGTTACCCCACCTGAAGCTGCTTCTGCTGACCAAAGGTTCTTTGCCAACACTTCTGATAAATAGTATGCTGAAACCGATGCTTTCCATTTCTCAAGATACTCAGCAGATTTCACCAGCCAAAAATTGACTTAGAACCTGGCGGTGTGGTGGCATGCTGCTGGCGCTTGTCCAGGAGGCTTTTTCACAGATCTCAGTGAGCCAGTTGCCACTCCAGACTGGTTAACCACCAGGTGGTGAGAGTACAGGATGGAGTAACAAAGCTCCACACAAACAGAGTGAGCACCTGGAGGATGATGTGTTGATGCTGAAGATTGGGTATCAACTTCAAAAGCTCTGTCTTTCTGAATTTATGGTAACTTCTGCTGGTCATCCAAGCTGCAGTTACCATGTTTTCAGATAGAACTTTTGAAGATTTCTGTCTGGAGTTAATAATCAATCCCCAGCATCTCACCTATTGATGCTAATCCCTCCAGCTCAAAACCTCTCCTTAATGCAGGAAGATCAGTCTCGGCTGCCGCTGAAGCTGGCCTCCATTTATGTCATGCAGTCCTGCAGATGTTAGTTCCTCACTGCTATCCGGCAACATGAGTAACACCAGCTCGTGCTGGGCATCTGTGTCTGCAGGCATGCCCTGGTCTCGTCTGACGCCTTCCTAAAGGGTAACCACAGCCCACCGCTGGGTGTCTGCAGGGCAGGCAGAGAGGCTGGAAAGGAGGGAGCAACAGGCAGCATGGTGTCAGCAGAAAGGTAAGGATTAGCAAGGAAGAACCTACAGAGTGTTCCTTTGACATAATGGATCCTTGAATGGTGACAATATCTGTGTGAAAGGCAAACGGCTCTTCAGTGTAGTGTGTGTGTTAGGGAGCACCATGCCGTGTGGGGATTGTGTGGTAACTACCGTTTTCATAGGGGATGGAGGTGGTTCTCTCAACACATCCAGATTCCAGTAATCCTCAGTGAAGGCCTGAGCAATTCAGCAGTAACCAGGTTGGTTGGTGTCACAGCACAGATTAAAATGGCAGCACGAATGCATACAGAGGTGTCTCAAAAGGTGAGAAAAAGCCCTGCTCAGGACTCGAGGTGAGGACAGAACTCCAAATGTTGGGAGTGAACTCAGCTGAGCATCAATGGAGACCGGAGCCTTAGGCTTAATATGCAATAATGTGACTGTTGTAGGGAATCTGTCATTGCTGACCTTTTAGGTGATCTTGGATGTTTTTCTGGTTTTTTGTGCTACAGATTGTATAATGATGAAGCTGGAGCACAAGTAGAGAAAGAGAAGTAGAAGACCTTTAAAATGGCTGTATTTTAGTTCCATATGTTGAGAAGCAAAGATGTGGAGATGATGAATGTGAAATGTAAAAGCTGAATTTTCCTGTGTCACACCAGGATTTACAATTTCAACTAGTTCTTGTAATTCCATATATTATAGGATGCTGTCTCCTTGTGTAAATGCAATTAATAGATCCACTTTTTAATTTGTAAATGGAGATTTTTTTTAAAATCCTCCATTCTAACATGTTCATTCATTTGGAATCCTAATTTGCTAGACTTACAGTTTATAACACTATCGCTTTGTTTGACAGTACATTGTGCTATGAGGAAGATCTGATGCACACTTTAAGTGGCTCTTACAACTGTCTGACCTTACCTACACCACCAACAGTAGTTGGCCAAGAATCTTGGATTCTGTCTTTGCTTTGTCTCTGGGGAGACTACGGCAGTTTTAGTTAGAGATAAGATACCTGAAGGATAATGACTTGGACATATTAGTCAAATAGCTAATCCTTCAGCTAATTAAAAAATGCTGGCATAGTGAGACAAGTATTGGCAAATTCTCCGAGCGTACTCAATTTATGCAAACAAAAGGTTAACCAGAACAGATTATACCAATTCTCTGAATGAAATAAATTGTACTGAAAAAGCAGGTTTTGCCAGTGGAATAACAGTGTTGGAATAAATGTGTCTATGTTGTACATCATAACATAAAGATGCTTATGAAAATTAGTAACTTATCTTCCTGATCTATTTAAAAGAAATATCAAGGTAGTAAGGTACACATCCAGACCCCACTAGATGGGTATCAACAGTAGGTCAGTTATATTAAAATCATAGATTCAAGTGCACTAAGCTATAGAAATAAGATTTGAATATCATGGTGGAGACAAAAAGGTAGCACATAATGCATGTTTTAATGTATTAAACCATAGTTTCTAATCAAGGCTGACTTTTTTTCTGACTGACAGAAAGGTGCTTTTCTGATTATGGGGGGAAATCTGATAATAAGAGAGTGACAGGACCCCAGAAAATATCATGACTGTCATTTAGAACTTTTCTTGACAAGGGGTTATACTGGAAATGGACAATCCCGGTCAATTTGGCATATGGCATTTATATCAGAATAAATATGCCCCATGGAGCTAATAAGCAATAGTCTTTACGTTTTAAATAATTTCTTGCTTATATTAAAATACTGTGTTTCAAAGCCTGTGGGTTATTTTGGGGCTGTACATTATATTATTCTACCTCATAATCAATCCTATTTTCATTTTATCAGGATTGCAGTGTAAAAAATGGTGAGTAGCTAAGTACAGTGCTCTTAATGTTCTTAATCTGTGTTACTTAAACCAACTTGATTTAAACCTTGTAATATTTTGTTCGGCTTCAGGGTTTTATTTAAAAGTCTCTCAAAACACAAAAGGATTTCCTCTTCATTTCCAGCTGCATTGACTCATTCTTCTTGGTAAGATAGCTATAAATAGTGTTCTTTTGAGCTTTGATGTATTTCTTTGTTTGGTCAGATGTTGGTCCATACGTTTCTGACAGTTCTTTTATCTCTCTTTTTTTAATTTTTATTTTGTGTTTATCAAGGCTGACCGCTGTTCGTTACTAGGCTGAACTGATTCCTTCTCCATCTTCCTCAGAGTCGGCATCATCATTGTAGAAGTGAATTGTAGCTTGTACTGGAAAACTCGCCAGAACCTTCTCTCCGATGTTATTAAGAAACTTTTGGGATTTGGACTTGGGCAAATAAAGTCTAATAAGAAAAAATATTTTAAGATAAAAAGTAAAACTATGCGACACTTCCCCAACTAAGCTAGGTTGAGTATTAAAACCTATTTTTATCTTTCTTTGGAGAGAGAAAAATCCCAGGGCTCCTTGTCTTGTAAAAGAAAAGTTGCTAACTAAAAGGTACTGTTGATTTTAAATTATCTCAGTTGCTTTGGGCATATTGTGTATTGGATTTATCTAAGGTCCCACCCTGATAAAGTGTTGCCAGGGCAATGATGGCTGCTTGAGATGGTTTGGTTTGGGTTTTAGCACAGTTCAGAACAGAAGTGTCCCAGTGGGAATCCAGTGGGATTCTGGAATTCAGATTAAGGCACCAGGTTAAGATTGGGATGGGTTGCTTCTTGCACAGATGTTGATCTTAGTGGGGTTTGTGTCTCTGGGCAGAGGAGGAGGTGCACACTGAGATAGATTTATTTCAAAATTCATGTTGTTTTGTATTGAAATCATAAATGTCTTAATTTACATTTCAGGTTTCCACCAGCTTTCCCACTAAAGCAAAATTTACATGGTCTGTATACATATGTATGTGGGTTTGTGTGCATATGTATATCTCTTCCTCTTGGTTCCACTTTGACCAGTTTTCAATTAAATTTGACAGTGATAAAGGTCACACAGAATTTAAGCTTCTACAACTGTTATAAAAACAAGTGCTTGTAAAGAAGAGGGATAGTCCATTAATTTTCCTCCTCGAAATGCAAGTCCAAATCAGGGCTTCCTACATCACTAAGCCTTAAAGAATCCAAATGTTGGTGAAAACACTTATAAATCCCCCAAGTATAGGAAAAGCTTTACCTCGAGTTCAACTTTTATTCAAAAGGAAATTCAAGTAAGCTTGACACAGATCTGTAAAAAGTCACATTCCATTAGCAGCTGTTCATGTTAATTATTTGGGCTCTGTGGGCTTGTTATTACATTAATAAATGTAAATATAAATTAGATGAGGCAGAAGAATCTTGTTTCTTTTAAGATTACTTTTTTCCTATTTATGTTATTAGCATATTGTTTCAGGTTCTGTTTTGCCTGGGCATCTTTCTTTGTGGAGGGATAAAAATCCATGGAGTCTGGTGAGTAGTTAAACTGCATTACTAAAAAGAGAAACTCCAGCGACAAACTGATACTTCTCCCAAGAAGGAATCTGTCTTGTCTTGGAAGGTGTCACTTTTCCTGTATCAAGTGCTAGGGTTTAACTCACCTCACTGGATGTTGAAACCCCAGGGCTCCTTTTGACCTAAAATTTACTAGTTGACCGTCCAGTTCTGACTGTAAAAAGACATATTTATTATTTAGAATAGGCTAAAAATGAAGTTTTCACTATTTTCTTCTACAAGTAACTGTAAAATTCTACAGTAATGTTGCTTTGTTTGCTGTGCCGCATCTCGTTTTACGCTGACTAAGCATACTTCAGAGAATATATGTGCCCACAGGCTGCCCATAGTTGCACATTTAACGAGGCATTTGAACTTGTATGTTTTATGAGCCATAAAGCCATGAAATATTGTATATTTTGCTTAAGTTCTTATAGAATATCTATAGAGACTGGTGAGCTAATAACAGCACCAAATGGAAGTTCAGTGGTTGGAAGAAAAAAGGATTTTCAATCAGTTTAAAGGATTGGGAGGTTAGAGTTTTAAAAAATACCTCTTTTAACTACACAAAGCAGTAGTTTGGAGTTGTTGGAATGTTCAAGTTAGGAAGCTTAATTGTAACCAAAGATCACACAAGCATGTTAGGACTCCAAACAGTAAAATCAAGAGACAACTGGCATCTCATATTTCTATGCAAACAACGATAAAAAAACAAGCATTTTTGATACAACAGAGTAGGTAGCAAAAATATAATACTTAATTAGCACAGAATAACTGCCTTCAAATTAAGGTCACAATGAAAACCAATAATTTGCAAATGTTAACCTTACTAAATCTATTAGGATTATAAACCTGGAATGTAAACCTGAAAGCATCTCCCACACTCACTGAGCCCTATCACTCCATCTTGTAGGCATGGATTAGTGGAGGGCGTCCCTGCCCATGGCAGGGGGGTTGGAACTAGATGGTCTTTAAGGTCCCTTCCAACCCAAACCATTCTGTGATTCTATGATTCTCTTCTATATCTTAAACCAAGAAGACTTCTTTTTTCCTCCTTTTGCTATAAACTTAATGTTGCATAAAATAGGAAGATTCAGCTTTGCTGTACTAGAACTTCTGGTGAATAGAATATAGAAACCATCCACTCTGCTACAAACAGACAAAGATGAATTTTGACACTGTCAGAGCAATTAATCTGTCTGTCTGAGGAAACAGGCTTCAGCATGGACATTTTGGTGGGCCCCAAAAAGCCCTTGGGCTACAGGTTGAGGAAGGGCTCCTACAGAATTCTCGCTGTACCTCTTATGTTGACCTATTTCTCTTATACCCACCTGTTTGTCTTGTAGCCAAAATGATTTGTCTTCAGGCTATTAGAGTTTTGTTGAGGGGGTTTTTGTGTTTAATTAGGAGACTCGTTTACTTTTTTCCCCACAGCACTTAGTAAAATGGACTCCTGATCTGGCTGAACATTGTAGCTGTGATCACAATACCTCTGTTAAATACCATATGTTATTTTTCTCCTTTCGTATTTACATTAAAATTAGAATAGTCTTTTTTATCTTTATTGACCTGTATTTTCTACCTTCTTCTTTTAGGAACACATATTGATTTTTAATAATTATATATGTAATAATATATATTGATGAAACACACATTATATGCTTTTTCTTTTCAGACTATAATACAGCATTTCTGAAAAGCAATTGTGATAAAAGCCAATTAATTGCAAAATCTAACTCAGTTCTTTGTATACAGCAGAAAATGTTGAGTGTTAATTTGTATTATGTTGTAGATATGGCAATAGTAACTTTAAATTACTTTTCATGGCTTTTCTTTGGGCATAAGTAACAACATAGTGGAATTTAGGTAGTAGGAAAAGTGTTACTTTTTATACAAGGAAAAGTATATTATGTATAGGTATATGTATAGGGTATATCGTAACACATGTTCTTGGCAATAGAGGTAAAATTATTACTTTTTTTTACCAGTACTTCTATTTTTTAGTGCTCTGCTCTGCATCTTTCAGTTTGTCAGGTTAGATTCTTATATGTATATTCCTAAACTTTTTCTTTTTTATTACACAGACAATATTGAAACTTTTATTCGCTTCAGTCTTCAGTGTTTGGAGCGTCTACCGATCTGTAAAGCGTTGGCATTTGTATGTATACATTGCAGAAAATAAAAGTAGCCAGTATGCAACTAACTAGCAAAAACATTGTGCTCAACCCATCTTGGAAGGCCTTCTGCTAGAAACCTCAGTAACTTTGCTGAAGAAGATGCCTCTTGCCTTCCACAGCTGTGGGATGTAGGTGTGCACTGCATAAAGTATCCAAGCATCTTTCTTCAGTTGTCGTGACCCCATTAAAAAAGACTTTAGGAGCCCTCCTTCTGCCCTCATTAGGTCCCAAGCTACTGAGGCATCTAGGGCACTGAAGCAGTGTGGGTGAGAAGGAGCTGAGAAGCATCTGGCAGGAAGGAGGAATATTAAAAAATCGAAACCAACTCTTTCAGTTATACGTGGCTTGAAACAATGCCAGGCTTCTAGTATGAATGTGGAAAACTTCATATATGGTTTGTTTTTCTCACACAAGTGAGCAGAAGCCCAAGTGTGAATTAAAACTTTAGAGCTGGCTGAATAAAATTTTCTACAAAAACATAGCTTCAGTAATAAATCACAACTTCCAGACTTCAGAAACCTTAGTTTCTTGAAATCATCACTGTAAGCGTGCACTCTTATGAGTAAGACTCTCATCCTTAGCACATTTACAGGCGCCTCTGCAAAGCTTGGAATGCTGCTGGGAAGGATGTTCTTCCACAGGCTTTCCCGAGGCGCCTGCCGGGAGAAGTGTGGCACTCCCCCAGATCTGCACAGCTACAACATCCATCTTCAGCAGACAAGGAGTACAAGGCAAAAAGGTGTTGCACATCTTACAATATAGTAGAAATTGTGAGTCTTTGAAGACTTGCACTAAGGAGAGTTTCTTAACCTCCTGAGCCTTCGGTAAAAAGTTTAAGATGTAACTGTGGATCGTATGCTGCAAAAACTTAGGCAGGTGCTTAAGACTAAGGAAGGGAGTAGCATCATTTCAATACATCTTGTAAAGTCTGCAGCATACGGAGCTATGCTGAATGTGCTTCAATCTCTCTTTTTGTTCTTTGAGCCTAACGTATCTTCCTACATGAAGTAAAACTAATAATCACAGTGTCTTTCAAAGTGACTCAGCAGTAAGAGCTACTTTAAAATCCAATTTTCTGTTGATTTCCTAGCTGGTTTAGCTATAGCAACATCCCTCTCAAAAAAACAATCAATAAAATTGTGCACTTGCAAGTATGTTTTTTAAGTTTCATCTTAAAGTCATTTTCACTCAAAGTCCCCCAATATACAAAATATCACATACAAATTAGGCCTGAAAATTTCAAACTGATTCTTATTTTTGTAATTAAGCAAATAAAAACTGCTGTTAGAATAAGGGTTGTTTTAGTAAGCAGTGCTTTCTGCAGCTCTTTAAGAACTGATAATGGTTCTATATCTGACACAAAATTAGAGATACTCTTAACCATTATCATGTACAGAACACTGTAATTTGAATCATATTTTCTAACACTAAAGAAATGCTTGAAAGAACAAATGAATAGATGACCAAGCCTCACTTCCTCTGTTCAAATAGTTTCAGTATCTGCACCTGTTTTCTGTAAGGATTATTGTCTCCACAATTTAGTCTCACCATTTGTTGATTCTCTGTCATCTCACCGTCTCTTGCTGTGAGCATCCAGGGCCTCCATAAAGCGGGGCTGCTGAAAGATTAAGATAGAATAGTGCTCCCACAGTTAATTCTTTGTGGTAATATCCATACAGTACAGCGCCTTTTGTTAGATTCTGCTGGCATATTTTGAAATAACATGATTTTTTTCTTTTCAACATATTTTGCTTTGGTATGTACGGCAATATTAGTCTGTCTTCTGTCTATGGTCTGATTAAACAAACTAGATGATCGCTTGCACATTTTTAACTAAGGTGTCATTTCCCTTTCAAATTTCACAACTCAAAGTGACTGTGTCAAACTACAAATGATGAAGTAATTAATACTAAAATCTTTTTATTTATGCAGCACTGCTACAAAATAAAAAGTAACCCCCCTCTCTGACAGTATGTCTAAATACAGACTCATGTCCTCATTGAGTGGCTGGTTATTCATTGAGTAAGCAACTCCAGCATTAAACTGACATGGGCAATCTGATCTAATTAGCTCAAGAGAGCCTACACAGTGGTGGATGCTACATCTGCCTTTTGATTAGGGACACACACACACACTATAATTATGGATGCTCTTTTTAACAGTACTTTCCATCTCTGCTGCTGTGTAGCAGATCCATACAGTTGGGGAAAAGCGCTTTCAGATATGAAAGGTAAATAAACTTACAGAAAAATAACAAATCAGTTATCGCAACGCTAATTTTAATTTACTTTCATTTATAAGTAAGTTCGGCAAGATTTGACTGAAAAGGATAAAATATCAGCAAAAGAAATACCTGTTCCAATGGAAACAGTTTCAGAAACCTATTTTGCCCTTTACTTCTGAAGTTGGAAATCATTTCCCGTTGTCTACTCCATGCTGAAATCATTACATTCAAAATGATACTTACAGTCAGAGTTTTGAAAGGAAGGCTTGCTGAAAAAAATTTCCCTGTGCCTGCCTTACCTCTCCGGGCGCTGCCGCTGCTGCCGCCGGGTGCCCCGGGAGCGATGAGAGACGTGTCCCGCTGCAGGCCGGGGCGGGAGACCAGCAGCTGCACCCTCCATGGCATTTGGTGGTCTAAAGCCTGTGGCAGGCTGGGCGCTTGCCTGGGCCTTTCAGCCCCTCCTTTATCTCAACTCCCAAAGAATACTTACCTAAAACAAACACGTCCCCAGGTAAAAGGGGAGAAATGTCCTTAATGAGATTTCTTTTGACTCCCCCAAAGAGTTCAGAGATAGGGTTCTCACCTTGGCAGGCTGTCCCGGGGAGAGCACTGCTAGGGAAACAGAGGCTTTTTGGTACGTTTGGTTAGCAAATCACATGGAAAATAATCCATGCCTTTTATCTCTGTGTTGCTGTTTTACAAAATCTGTATTTGCTCTATATGAAATATATTATGTAAATACTCTTTTTGCGTGTCTTGGGAAAACTCATCAACATCCTGTCCTAAAAAAGTGTAACAGAGACTCAAAGAGAATTTTCAATGTAAATTTTTTTTTTTTTAAATGACTGAAGTCTTTTTCATGTCCTAACTTTAAAAGAGAAAAAGATACCAAAAATCAGTGAAGGAGAGAGGATTTAAAGACAGACCTACTGACTTCCTCAAGACTACAGGGATGTTCCTTTAATTTGATTGCTATTTGATGGATGGAGAAGAAAGCTTATGCCAAGACATACTACTTTGTCAATCAAAGAATAAGGGTTATGAATGCCATCGTTTTGAGGAATCGTTTATTTCAAAGTATGCAATATATACTTTAAGCCTACAAAGATTGAATGGAAACAGACTTCTTCCAAGCTTTCTTCCCCCGCTTTCATTTGTAGCGTGTATTACTCATAGCCTGTTACATTGTACAAGAACAATTTATTACCTGATGGTTGACATTATCTGATTTTCATTGTTGTGGTTCATTGCTACAGTTCACTTTGTTTCCTTTATTTCCCAACTACTGCAGAGATGTAAGAGGATTATAAGAACCTAAAGCTGAATTCTCTTTCCACCGGTGCTGTTTACACATTGACATCAAAGGGAACAGATTCAGCTTACAAATATAATTGGTTTCCACTGTGAACTTTCTTCCCAGAGAGAGATTAATTTTGTTTACTGAACATGGAATGTACCTTGATTATTTAGTATGAATTAGGTCCCTTCTAGCTGACTTAGCTGAAGAAACCATCAAAACAGTCAGTTTGAGAGGACAAGGAAAATTCTCAGTGGGATTCGGACCCCTCCGAGGTAAGCCTTGTGGCTCTTTTTCAAGTTACGATCCAGCTGGAGGCAGCACGTTCAGTCAGCAAGAAGACGTTGGACTCACAGATAAAGACCACTGGATGTATTCCCTTGGAGACACCATTTTCCCCTGAAATTATTCTGTATTTGAAAACATTGTATATATACCTTTGCACATGTGTTTTTATTGTGCATTCTACTGATTTTCCTGAAATTTAAATGTATTTCTTCCAACAGGGAGGAGCTTAGGTCAGATTTGAAAGCCAGACTGATTTTCCTACATCGATACAAGTTGTATGGTTGTATTAGCTATGTGGCACTCTGAGTGACTGCTAAAAGTAATAGCGTAACACTGGTTCTGATGTTTTTGAAGCAGTCTTCAGTAACAGACTCTGAGATTTGATTTGTCGAGGTCCGATTCTTACATAAATTTTTCCTGTTCTTTAAAACATCATTTCTTGCTCTGACAAATAGACATGTTTTAAACTCAAAGGCCAAAGCCATTAAATGCTGCTCTGGGAAGCACTGACAATATCTAATAAAGAACTTACAGTCTAAATCTACTCCCTCCCATGTTTAAATACTGTATCACATTTGTAAAGTTGTGATTTAGAAAATAATACTGTATCTCAAAGAAGAAAATATATGCACAATCTCAAGCACTTTAGACATTTATGTATCAAAATCAGTATAATTATTAGAATGAAGAATATGGTGAATAATATTCAAATAATAATTATATATATATAAAATAGCAACATGGGTCCTGAGAAAAAATGGCAAACTTCTTAAGTGACTTAAATTATAGTTAAATATCTTGCTGAATTACAGTCTTAAATACACATATATAATTTCATCAGCTTTTAGTTTTATTTAGACCTAATTTAACTTGATAGTTGAAAGGGAAGTGTGCATTACACAACTGATGACGATGGTCCTGATCTTGCAATCAGATCTATATGTGAGGATAATTGATTTCTACCACTGGATAGAATCTGCCAACATGGATATTAGTGCAGGACTAAAGCCTAAACTACTAACATATAGCGCTCTGGAAAATGCAGTTACCCTCTATTAAATCTGTTGATAAAGCCCTGCAAGACCATGTTTATTACAAAATTATTGAAAATATAATTTTCTTAATGAAGTTATAATGTAATCTAATGTAAATACATAACGTAACACTGTAGAAAAAATGTAAGTTAATATTACATTATTGTACTAATTAATGGAAGCACACAACTTTAACGGGTATTGTCATAGAAATCATTAGCTAAAATCAGGTTGCAGATCTGTGGAAAATGATTTATTCCAGTAAAATATAAGCAGCTATAATAATGTATGATCTCTAGTTTCTAAAAAAACCCTCCAACAAACAGGCAGCAGTTAGGCCAGTCACAGCTGTCTAATTTCAAGAACTATATTACTTTTTGCAATATACTTAATTTTAATATAAGGTACTGTGTTTGGTGAAGAACACTTCACAGAATCAGAAAACACTGGCTCTGTTACAGTTGCTCATCCATTTTTCCCAGAAGCCAGGAGAATTTTTCAGACTTCTGATACTGAGAATAACTTTGACAGACTCGATTCTTACAGAGAGATGAGCCATCAGATAATTATTTTGTGTTAATTGGAAGAGGTTTTTATCTCTGTGGGAAACTTGTTTTACTCAGTTTTTTCATGAAAGCACTTGTGCATTTGGAAGAGTAAAAAGCCTTCAGTATAAATCAGTATAGTCAAGGAAACAGGATAGCTCTACAACATTTATAGTTTTGAGTAGTATCTGGTATTTAACAAGGCATTTGTAGCCAGTGATAGCATGCAAAGCTCCTCAAAGAGAAATTGTTGGAAAAGCTTTTAGGGAACAGAGGGAGGAGGAAACTGAGCCATTGACAAAGCACAGCAAGGCCAGTCTCATCATATTCGTTTAAAGTTGAAAAGAGACACTCATCTGTGCTGAGGTTACATGGTAGAGTTGGCTCCCTCTTCTGAGTGGTCTCCTTTGGGAGCCTTCCCACGTGGCCTGTGTGAAGAGCTAAGGGAGATTTAACCCCCCTAGACTGAAGCTGGCCTTTCTCTCCCACTGGGCTGGGGGGAGGAATTCTCCAAGCTTGTGGGCAGAAATTCAAAATTTAGCCTATTCACTGTCTTCAGGGTTTTCCAAATTCTCCTTAAACAATTTTGTGTGTGTGTGTGTGTGTGTGTTCAGCCTCTTGCAATATCTTTCTGTAATCTTTTCTCTTTGACAAAACCCCAAGTGTTCTGGGAAGTCTGAGGGCTATTATTACTCACTGTTTCTTTCCAAGGCTTCCTTCCAGCCTCCTATAAGGAGGAACTGATTGACATAGTTATTTTAGAATACCTATTTTAGTAAATTTCCTGGTGCATTCAAGGTCTTGGCTTCATAATAATAAAAAAGAATGTTTCCCAATGTAAAATTCCTAACCTTTTAATCAGAGCTTGTCACGATTAAGTCTAAGCTACACTATAATAGAAACTAGAAAACCTACAACAACTTTATGGCTTCAAACAATTCTAACTGACAATGTGCCAACATATGTAGACACTTGTCTTAAAATGGTGACTGATTTTGCCTGTATATTATTGTGCTTTAGATTCCCTTGCATCATGAAGTTTTTATTCAGTTTTCTTGTTTACTCATAAACATTTCCAGGGTAAGGGAACAATAAAAATGAAAAAAGATCATAATCAGAGTGCATTCGATGCCACCAAAGGATTAAGCAAAGCGCGTTCCTCACTGTGCAAAGGTTATATAAACAGTCGTGTTTTGTGGTGTGCTCTGAAGGTCAGCAGTGCATGTGCTGTTGAACTGTTACAGAGAAAGTGAACTCCAAAGTTGAGAGCTTTCTTTTGAGCTTGTATACTTTGCTCGTTTTCTTTCTTTTGAATGTGCCTGGGTAAGTATTTTGACTTCCTGCATAAGATAAAGTCACACAAAAGAACAGTGTATAATGCCAAGTTAAGACCACTGGAGACTTTGTTGCTCTCTCTGTAGAATATGTACAGGACATAGGAGCACAAGGCTGGTATTTCTTAAGTCTGAGATGGAGAAGGAGAACTATTTAAACTGACTCTCCAACTGAAATTGTCACCTGTTTCTGCCATGCATTGTGGAAACCAAAATTATGTCAGCAATTCCTACCATTTTCAGAGAATCACAGAATGGTTTGCTTTGGAAGGGACCTTAAAGATCATCTAGTTTCAACCTCCTGCTGTGGGCAGGGACACCCTCCACTAGACCAGGTTGCCCAAAGCTCCATTCAATCTGTGGGTGCAGATTTAAAGTAAAAATGTCTGTCATGGTACTGGTGGTGATTTTTTTTTCATGTTGATGCCCGCTCCAAAATGTGCAGGGCCAATTTGTTCCTTGTTTATCTACAGTGCCAGTGTGTTGTTGCTGGAGATCCATTTAGGAAATTGTTCGTTTAGAATACCTATTTTAGTAAATTTCCAAGTGCATACAAGGCCTTAAGTTCAGAATAATAAAAAAAGAATGTGGCTTCACGCCCTGTTCAGGAAACGATTGTCACGTATCAGTCAGCTGCAACTTTAATGTTGGTGTCGGCTTCTTTCTTCTAGCCTTCTTGCATTTTTCCTCTTGCCTTTTTTTCCCTTATCTTTTCACTTACCCACTAAATATCTGCTAGGATCAAACTGATATGTGTTCTTTCCACAGAACTCAATGTTGTGCTACCTCCCGTATAAAATATAGAAATTATTTAATAACTGTCCTGCATAGATGTACCAGAGGAGTATAGGATACCTTGTTACCTCTGTTTCATATTCTGCAGTAGCAAGTTGTATTTGCAG